TGGTGGGGTGTTTTCGTCTCGGTATAAGTACAGATGATGGTTAATACTTAACAATATATCCTAATAATATCCAACATTCTAGTATCTTGAATAAACTACAGTTTAATTGTCAATCCTCTCCATTGTAGCCCCGTCTTGTATATCTGCCTTCAGAACGTAGCTTCTAGTATTCGTTATTGTAGGTTTTATTTTACTTTAATCATTTAAATAAAGAAATTCACACGGCGATGTACAAGTTTAATATATTTAGGGTTAGTTATTACATTTTCCTCCTCACGAGGATGTACAAATTTAGTGTATTTAGGGTTAGTTGTTACATTTTACTCCTCACAATGATGTACAAATATAGTATATTTAGGTTTAGTTGTTACATTTTACTCCTCCTCACGATGATATACATATGTGGTGTATTTAGGGTTAGTTGTTACATTTTACTCCTCACGATGATGTACAAATATAGTATATTTAGGGTTAGTTGTTACATTTTACTCCTCCTCACGAGGATGTACAAGTTTAGTATATTTAGGGTCAGTTGTTACATTTTACTCCTCCTCACGAGGATGTACAAGTTTAGTATATTTAGGGTTATTTGTTACATTTTACTCCTCCTCACGAGGATGTACAAGTTTAGTATATTTAGGGTTAGTTGTTACATTTTACTCCTCCTCACGATGATATACATATGTGGTGTATTTAGGGTTAGTTGTTACATTTTACTCCTCCTCACGAGGATGTACAAGTTTAGTATATTTAGGGTTAGTTGTTACATTTTTAGAGTAAGAAACGTTGTTTGTATCTAATTAACATAATACCGCGTGACTCTCCACGTGGGATAGTAGAGAGAAAGGAAGCCATTAATCTGGAAAAATCAGTGAATTTGAAATAGGGCTAAAAAATAAAACGACAAGTTTGTAAGTTATCCGTAAAAGCTCGGGAAGAATCCACTTCACACACTTACATTATTTACATACGTTGTTTAGTTTTTGACAGTTACCGGTATGTCCAAACGTGATTAGCCGAATGGTGTTATTTTATTTGGGGATAATTCTCTAATTCGTTATGATTGTCGGTGAGTTTCATGAAATATCATTTTATTGTCTACCATCGAGTTGCAGTGTTTTGTGGTTTGTTGTTTCTATGGTGAGGTTAAATATATTCTACAAGCATAAATTATGTTAATTACGAGGAAGGATTGAACTGTCGGTGTGTCTGGAAAAGAACGTGACCACTCCCTCGATGGTTATGAGGTCTGGTTAGAGGTTAAATCAGAAATAAAAAGTTATAGTTGGGAATACTGGTGTTCTGACAATTGCTCTGATGTAAATTCATCGTAGGTGTTAGAGCTTTAATGGATAGTAACAACAAAAAAGAAAAGGCTGTTGTACATAACTCACGGTTCCGTCGTGGCCACCAGAAACGGTAAAGGCGACCTCGCGCTCTGCATGAGCACGTATGACAGTTACGTCACTGAGTTATGGAGAGAGAGCTTAGTGAAATCTACGTGTATGCACGTGGGGGCTCTTAACAAAATTGAACTCGTAGACAAAGAAGAATGAAGTCACTTTCGTACTGAATACAAATATCCTTTTTTTAAAGCTTTGATAGTCATGATCAGAGTGCGAAAAACGGAACACTCGGTACATACTCATCAGAGAAATCCATCTTCGTTTAGAGATTATCGAACAACCACATCGCAAGAGCTTGGTTTAGGTTTTGTACACGTGTTTATTTCAATACGTGGTTATTTAACTGCGATAAAAATACGTATAAGAACAGGGTTTAAAGTTTATGTGATTTCACAAGATTGTCAAACTTGGACTAACTCCTTAATATCGAATTGTAAGTACTGACAAACAAACAAAGTTTAATGTCAACTGGAGAGTGAATTTCTTTGGTGTAAAACATCATAGAAATGAAAGGTGAATAAATTGGCATGTTTTATGTTGAAACATTTTTTTTTTAAATGTCCTGTGTTATACCCTACTATTTTACCAATTATACGGCCACCATTTGACCTTAGTGTTTACATATACCTATATACACCGCTTTATTACAAGTGATCATTGTCATCCAGCATGTTGAATCAGTCTGCCTGTACTTACTAGCAGTTAATGTGCCATCAATAGATCTTGTACATTGATTACGGTACAACACCAGTTTTGGTCAGTCATCATGGCCATTGAGACAACACTTGGTGTTGAAAGTATATTTTATTGTTCTCGACGTAACATCCACATCTCTGTTTATTGGGGGGGGGCTCCGGGTTTGGGGGATGCGCCAAGTTAGCAACCAGTTTACCCAGAATTTAGCTGTTCCCATAAGACTAAGGCTCATTGTCTTTCAAAGTCCAGTAAACTCTGACAATATGGTGAAATACAGTACCGTGGTAGGTAAGGTTGCCTCCAGGCTAGAAGATAGAAAGTAAATGTATAAAGGGTGGTGGGTGGAGTTGAGATTTTTGTTGGGGGTGGGTGGGGGGCAAATTGTTTTGGCTCCGGGTACCAGACACACTCACCTAGGCCACTGGTCGTCTATACCGTAAAGACCATATTTTGAGATACTTAACATCATACTTGGGAAGTTTTGTTATTGTTTTTAGTTTGTCCCCCCACCCCACCTACGACATGTGCCAGATTAGCGAATCTTCTTCAGCGTCTTGCATGCACTTCTGACCGAAACGTGGAGTCTTGCCGCACTTTTTCGTATATAGTAACTTTGACTTGCACACTCTTGTCGTGGCGGTATTTAAGACCTGTGAGCCGTGACTGGATTTACACTGCTACTGCTGGGCATAGTATGACTGCCTATACCTTTATAGACTTTATAATTTTGTGACACTCTCATCTTAAATTACCGACACGCGACTGTGCCTAGGAGCAGTTCGTTTTCACACCGTAAATGGGTGAAATCCCCGTAGTATTTACCTTTTATACCCTTCTTCCTCACCGTTTCCATGACGACGTCCAGTGTTTAGTAAGTTGCATTCTATATCTAGAGAGTTAGAAACTTTCAGCTAATAGCACTCTGTAGACCTATGTTCGAGACCCATTATAGTATATAGTACCCACCAATATTGTCCTGGTATTGTACAAAAGGCCTCGTCGACACTGAACGTATTGATATCTTATTATACTCTCCTCTTTACTTTCATTCGGAAGTAAATTAGTAGTCGTTATTGAACTTGAGTAGGGGCCGTCTCATTAGTAATGCTCTTAATAAATACACGGGTGTTCAATATCATAATGCGTTGTTATCTCGGACTAGTTTTTCTGATAGAGACTGGACCCTATAGATTTCGGGAGTGTGAAGTTCTTCGTTGTAGTTTTGGTGACCTACCTAGTTGTGAGACTGAAAACCTAATAACTAAATACGACAGTCGGTTGAGGTAAGAAAAGTTTTTCAAGAAAGAAAAATATAATAAAACCCTGGGAGTGATTTTGTAAATATCGCCTGTTCTTGGGTTGTATTAAGAATACATACATAATATATATAGTCCAGAACATGTCTTCCGGTAAAAAGCGCCCCCCAGTGGCACAGCTGTATGTCTGCGGACTTACAACGCTAGAATCCGGGTTTCGATACCCGTGGTGGTCAGAGCACGGATATCCCATCTTGTAGCTTTGAGCTTAACATTCAACCAACCGGCTAAAGCACTGGAAGTGATTTTGTAAGTATCGCTGGTTGTTGGGTTATATTAAGGGTCTACACTGCGTTCCAGTTTATTCTAACATTAAAACGTGACGTTAGGTGGCGATACGTACCGAGGTGATGAATGGTGGAAGAAAGTAAATGTCCTTGTTCGATCCATAGAATTAATGATAAACGGCACAAAGTTCTTTACGTTGTCTCAAAAACTACAGACCAAGAAAACAATTGTGGTGCCACCTGGTATCTAAGATTATAAGTTATTAAGAAATGCGATGCATTTGGTACAAAGTTTTATGTCGCATAAAATGTAACGGCAAACGGTAGGACCTGTTTTATTTAGATTGACTCGTTTAAAACAACTTGTACGATTTCGTGTAGTGTGTCCCCCCTTCTTCCTCGTACGGTTGTCATAGTAACTGCAAATGTGAGGTCTTTCTGTGTCCGCCCCCCGTCAATTATTACTGGACGTAAGGACATCTTACTTCTTTCCTCTTTTAGTCTTTTTTTAGTAGTCAAGTTAATTTAACTTTCGACTACGAACCAAGACGTTGAAGTTAAGCCTCCTTGTGTTCGTTGATCACGACAGTAAAATACAGTCCGTATGGAACAGTAACAGACGACTGAGGTGCAGAAGTTGAAGGGGTCGTAAATGGAGCACTTTATAGTTTAATAACTAATAGCAGCTGGTTGACCACGTGGTTCACTGGAAGAACTCTTCAAAGCTAACGAACAGTATTAGGCTTAAGATCAGTATTTATGTATTTAATGAAATAAATAAGGTTGGTAGAAAACCGGTTATATTTTAAAATTTTATTCAAGGTAGTTATGCTTCAGTTTGCCATGCACACGAAGCTTCTCGAGTGCCACCTATAAATGTAATAATTAAATAATGAGTGAAAAAAGGGGTTGCTGGAATAAACTTTGTAATTCGCGTGTGATAGCGGTTTCAGAATGGAGTCAACATTTAACCTTGTCTTTTACATAGTCGTTGTCCAAAGAAGAAGAAAAAACGATTATTTTTTGTGGCGTAAACCAGACCCAAAACATTCTGATTTAAAAAAGACGTCAAAAACATGTTAACTAAGACAAATCTCTTGTTTAGTTTTGATGTTTGTCTCGTGGCAAGTAACTAAAATATTTAACTTACTTCAGCCAACACTGTTCGTGTAAGTAATATTTCTTCTTTGAAACTGTAACTCAAGCATGTGTTCGGTGTTGTTGTTTTTTTATTATGACGTCTGTTTGAATCTCTGGAGTATCCTCGCTACTTCATATTATTTTTATTGTTAGGACTGATTTGATATTGAATTCTCGTATCTTATTTTTTAGTTGTATTGTTTCATATTTTACAGAACACTATCACATATTCGTAGGCGACTTGAGTCCAGAAATAGAAACCATACAGCTCAGAGAAGCGTTCACGCCGTTTGGAGAAATATCGTAAGTACATAATTTGGTTTTATATTTGCACATGCAACGTAATTTGTATTTTCTTACGCAGGCGTAAAATGTAAATTTTTAATACTGTGGGGAGTCAGAGAGCGGGACCCCAGAAAACGTAGCATTTATAAATTCCCAAAACGTGCATGGTAAAACCTGGATATATATATATATATAGTATGCTCTCCCTCTTTCCCCCTCCATCAGGCGTACATTTGGGTGGGCTACGTTTTCCAGGTTCTGCCGTCTTTAAGTGTCGTTTCAATAAACTTCGTGGTTTCCATGTTCTCATCCAAGTTATCCGTTTTGTTTTTAAGAGATCGTTTAGTTTTTGAGTCTCCTCGACAGCAGTTGCTGTGGGTTTATTGCCTTCTAGGTTGACGTCAGCAGAGTTGTGGTGACTTTAAGATAAACTCTTCGTGGGCTAATTACTGTAATGTAATTAACCACGGAAACGAAGCTTGCGGGTAATTAACCCCTGGGTAAGTAACACATTGATTTTGAATTGTCTTTTGGATAGGACGTCGTTTGAGGTGTGGACAAAGTTGATGGGAAAAACACTGACGTATAAATTTGGTGTAGATCTCTCTCTTCACGATCGGGTTAACTCCATAATTGGCAGTGAAAATAATGTGTTGTAAACCCAAAACCAAATATTTGTTACGTAACAATCTGAATGGTTTCCCAACAAACATCAAAACTAAACAAACCAAATATTTGTTACGTAACAATCTGAATGGTTTCCCAACAAACATCAAAACTAAACAAACCAAATATTTGTTACGTAACAATCTGAATGGTTTCCCAACAAACATCAAAACTAAACAAACCAAATATTTGTTACGTTACAATCTGAATGGTTTCCAACAAACATCAAAACTAAACAAACCAAATATTTGTTACGTTACAATCTGAATGGTTTCCCAACAAACATCAAAACTAAACACACCAAATATTTGTTACGTGACAATCTGAATGGTTTCCCAACAAACTTCAGAACTAAACACACCAAATATTTGTTACGTGACAATCTGAATGGTTTCCCAAGAAACTTCAGAACTAAACACACCAAATATTTGTTACGTGACAATCTGAATGGTTTCCCAAGAAA